CCTGATGGTTTTTACCAAGGGCGCTGTTGAGCGTATCATCGATGCATGCACGACTATCATTTGGGATCATGACTCATCCTTGCCAGTTCCAATAACAGATAGTTACCGCAGCTTGATTCTGGAAAATATGGAGGAGCTCGCAAGACTTGGTCTCCGCGTGTTGGCATTAGCCCATCGGCCGTATAAAGAGAGCCATGTCTTTGACAATTCTGGTATCAGCCGTGACGACGTCGAAAAGAATCTCTGCTTTCTTGGACTGATCGGTCTCTACGACCCTCCGCGACCAGAAACAGCTTCTTCCATCGCAGCATGTTACCGTGCTGGAATTGAAGTGCATATGGTGACGGGGGACCATCCTGGGACTGCCAAAGCCATTGCACAGCAGGTGGGGATTCTTCCTGCGGATCTCGGCACAGTGGCAGCCGACGTGGCAGACGCTATGGTCATGACTGCCGGTCAGTTTGACAAGCTCACTGACGAACAAGTCGATGCCCTCCCTACCCTGCCTCTGGTCATTGCCCGCTGCGCTCCTCAGACCAAAGTACGCATGATTGACGCGCTTCATCGGCGTGGGCGGTTTGCCGCTATGACAGGCGATGGTGTCAACGATTCTCCATCCCTTAAACACGCGGATGTGGGCATCGCCATGGGCCAAGCCGGATCAGATGTCGCCAAGGACGCATCAGACATCATCCTCACAGACGATAACTTCGCCTCGATCCTCAACGCAGTAGAAGAAGGCCGCCGCATCTTCGACAACATTCAAAAATTCGTCCTTCATCTCCTCTCCGAGAACATCGCCCAAGCCTGTACACTGCTAATTGGCCTTGCTTTTCAGGACAAAGATGGCCGCTCCGTCTTTCCCCTATCCCCTGTAGAAATTATATGGATCATCATGATTACTTCCGGTATGCCGGACATGGGTCTAGGCATGGAGGTCGCCGCGCCCGATATCATGGACAGACCTCCACAAAACAAAGCCGGCATTTTCACCTGGGAGGTCATAATCGACATCATAGTTTACGGCCTGTGGACAGCAGCCCTCTGCCTGTCGGCCTTCTCCATCCGCATGTGGGGCTTCGGTGACGGTAACCTTGCACGAGGCTGCAACAGGGCATGGAGCGAAGAATGTGATCTTGTGTTCCGCGCCCGCGCAACGACCTTTGTCTGCCTCACCTGGTTCGCCCTCTTCCTGGCATGGGAAATGGTCAATATGCGTCGTTCCTTCTTCCGCATGCAGCCTAAATCCGAGCGCTACTTCACGCAGTGGATGCACGATGTCTGGCGTAACCCTTTCCTCTTCTGGTCCATCATAGCCGGCTTTGTCACGACCTTCCCGATCCTGTACATCCCCGTGATTAACAAAGTGGTCTTCAAGCATACCTGGATCTCATGGGAATGGGGCATCGTCTTCGTCGAGGCTATCCTCTT